TACAAGCAATGGCAAAGGATTGGCCACGACAGACCAATGGGGGGCTTGGGCCAACCTCTTGTTGCGTGCTGCCACCCCTGTTTCGACAACATCCCTTTGGCTTTCATGGCAAAACCGGACCGGGGGTTGGATGTAATGTAAGCAATGTTTGTCGAACCCTCCCCCAATCACACCCGATCTGGTGGGTCAAAGGCAGAAAAAGGGACGCCAAAAGGACCTGTTCGTAGACCTGCGACATGGCGAGCACAGAAAATCGCCACGCCTTCACAATGTCCAATGGGACGAGGTCAACTGCCGAGACCTTGAGCCTCTCCTGGGCGGAACTGCTCTCCTGCATCTGCATGTTAGTCTACAATCTTTTCTGCAAGCTCCAACCAGCCACTGCCCCCGCCTCGCCACCTGGCTAGCCGCGGTGAATTTTTGAAGGCGGATACTTTGAGTTGTGCGAGCTACCGAACGTGAACCGACGTGATCAGCGATATCAGCGCCCGGCCTCGTCATTCCAAACCTCTTTGCGGGTCTTCAACCGAATCCTGGCTCGCAAGGCGAAGTGGATGCAGTTCACTCATATCCAATGACCCGTGTGCACCCCCCGGTGTTCTGCCTTCCACACAGCAGAACCTTTTTTCTTTCTTCATGGGGTTACTGTATCCGCTGAGGCATGCAAGCTGAGGTTCTGCCTGTTCGTCCACCACTGGCAGAAGCTCAGAAAAATGGCACTTCCCTCAAGCAAAGGCTTGAAGGTGCTGGATTGCGATATCTAGAATAGCACGACACCTTACCGTTCACCTTCGGCGTTCTGGCCCAGGGCAGCAATGGTCGTAAGACGAAGCAAGGCACCACATTGATTGGAGAGCTATATTTGTGCGAAGACACTACCTGGGGGCTATGCCTGTCCAACAATTTGCTGGCCATTTTCGGGTAAGTAATTCAAACTTCAAGCCAAGAGCGTGTTTACCTTGGTCTGGCACTATGAAAGTACAATCCTGTGCAGCACATTGACAAGCATGAGCGCTCTAAACCAAAACCCAAAACCCTAAAGTTAGTTGACCATGTTGACCCTACATCAACCCCCTCAACCCTAAAGTCATTTGACCCAAGCCAAGCCTAACGCCAGGTTTAGTTGACCTAAAACCTAAAACCTAATAGCCCGCCTCAGCTGGCAATCGGGTTCTCCCATCCGGTCAGCAACCCCGGGACTCAAGGAACAGCCCAAGCAAGCCCAAAGCAAGGCTTTGGGACTCCAAGCAACCCATCCCGGGTCAAATCCAAGCCGTACATGGGTGTGGCGAACTTCGACGCCAGGTACCACGGCACTACTGAATTCAAGCCGTCTGCAATGTGTATGCATATATGTGTTGTGGGTGGCATTATTACGCTGGTTACACAGGGGCAGTGCACAAGCGCTTCTGGGGGGGAGGTGCGAGGAAGCCGGACATGGGAAGGAAATTCGGACACGGCTTCCGGCAAACAAACAAGCGAAGTAGATCGTGCGACGAATCACAGCATTCTCTGAGGCATGGCAACTTTTTGCGGCTAGGCAAGTGTGGGCTTCGAATAGCACTTTCCGAGTCCTGCGGCTGGATGGCTCATCTCAAAATCAAGCCAACATGTGGGTATGGGTCAAAATTAAAGCACCAGGGGACCGCAGGTTTTAGTCCTTGGTTCCATTTACCACGGCTCCATTTAGGGTACCTAATTTTTTACCCACAGCCATGTCATACTTCATATATCTCCAGCAACCTGTGCACAGTTTCAATGTCAAGCTCCATTTCGCCAAGTCTCGTGGCACGAAACCCGCGAAAAGGTGAGCCTCTCGTGTCTAAAAATGTTTGCCCAACCAAAAGCGCGTGGCCCGCCTCCAGCGTTTGAAGAGGCCATGCTTGAAGATTGTCTCCAGCCTCAAGGCACTTCGGCCATTTCGCCCGGGCTGCCACTCCCAGCATTGCTGGGACCCAAAAATGGAACCGTGGCTGCGAGCCGTGATGTTACACTGTTGGAGTCAAAGCAATGGGGCAGCCGCAAGAAAAGCACGCGACAAGCCTTGCAAAGGCGTGAGTGATATACGCCCACAGACTGGTTTTGAAGGTTGACACTTGACGTGGCCCAGAGACGGCCGATAAGTTGATTTTAGATGAATTTAGTGTACGTTTCTAAAGCTTGGGCTTGGTGCAATCGATGGCTTAATATTCAACATGGTTTTGTGGTGTGCTTTAAAACCCAATTATTGCCATGCTCATAAGAGTAATCATTTGACCCCTTGCATGAATTCAGCCTTTGTTGGCGAGTTCTCACTTTTGAGAGACTCACCAGTGTGTGGTTTGCCTTGGTTCAGCTTTGCATGCTGCTTTCTCCGCGCGTTCCCGACATGCATATGCGGAGACATGACTTTCCACTGGGCAAGTTAGGGGCAATGGTGGAATACACCAGAAAGGAGCTCAACATGAACCCTAGTTGACACTACATCAGGCCCTCACAAATGATTGGTGAGTCCCAAAACAAATCAGACACCTGTATGAGCCTGTTTAGCCTAAGCTTGCTCTTGGTGAGGAATCTGGCAAAACAATCCCAAGCGAAGCATTCTCCCAGCCAGTAGCCATAATCTACTGAGAACAAACAAACTGAAGGTCTGCGTTGACTAGCGAACCACCCCTGTGGGCCGAGTCGGGGGTTTGCATACCTTCCGGACAAACATCTGATGCCGTCGTGGTGGCCTATGAGCCTTGCAGCCATGAAACCGAATGGTCCCACTACAACAGCCCAGAAGTTCCCCTCAGATACACCCGTGTTCGGCCGGAAGGAAACTCACTGGTGACTTGGAGCTGAAAACCACTAACCTGTCCACCCCGAAATATGCAAAACTGCGTGACACGTGCCGCCGGGAGACGGAATTCCCCGGGGTTCGACTGCAACAGAAAGGATACATGATTGAAAAGCAGATGACGCATGAAACACAGCTGATCGAAACAGCAAAAGACATTCGACAAGCAGAAACAAACAAACAAACAAGCAAACATGTTGACAAACATGCAATCATACAAACATACATACATACATACATACATACAAACAAACAAACAAACCAGCAAGCAAACGCACAAACAAACAAACAAACAAACAAACAAACAAACAAACAAACAAACAAACAAACAAACAAACAAACAAACAAACAAACAAACAAACAAACAAACAAACAAACAAACAAACAAACAAACAAACAAACAAACAAACAAACAAACAAACAAACAAACAAACAAACAAACAAACAAACAAACAAACAAACAAACAAACAAACAAACAAACAAACAAACAAACAAACAAACAAACAAACAAACAAACAAACAAACAAATTCATCGACCCGTAAACGCGCGAAAAGACAGGAACGCCACCCCCTCGTTTACAGTGAGTTTCGAAAAAGCACCTTGTTTTTGGTTGGCAGTTCACAGGGATCGACGACTTTGCTGTTCTCAGAGTTGCTGCCACCAAAGATCCTGCCTTTTTCAATCACGCAGCCACAAAGAGTCTGAGTCAAATTTGCACCAGCATGTGCGCAGTGCTGAGCGGATACGCTGGAGCGGGTGTGCTTATCATGTGCCAGCATGTGTGCACTGCTGAGCGAATACGCTGGAGCGGGTGTGCTTATCATGAGCCAGCATGTGCGCAGTGCTGAGCGGATACCCTGGAGCGTGCTTATCATGTGCCAGCATGTGCGCAGTGCTGAGCGGATACACTGGAGCGGGTGTGCTTATCATGTGCGCAGTGCTGAGCGGATGCACTGGAGCGGGTGTGCTTCTCATGTGCCAGCATGTGCGGATACATTGGAGCAGTGCATTGCGCGTGCAGTGCATGCAAGTCATGCGCTGGACGAGGTCAGAAACTGTCAATTTCTATGCAAAATGTGCGTTTTGCGGCGCGGAAGGCGGAGACGCTCGAAATGTGTGAAAAAGTCATATGATTTGAAGAGTTTTGCGTCCATTACAGTGGGGAAACCACGCGCTTGAGCGCGCGTTTACAGGACGACGGAGCCACAAACAAACAAACAAACAAAACAAACAAACAAACAAGCGAACAAACAAACAAACAAACACATACATGCACAAGCACAAGCAGAACTACACACACACCACACACACACACACAAAAACACCCCATCATACTGTCAGGAAACCACACACCAACACGCGACCACATGCACACAACAACATGCAAACACGCAAATGGAAACATGCACAAACGCACACATTCACACATACACAATAACATAGTTACATATGTATATATATATATATATGGTCCCGTGTTCCGTGTTGCAGCAGCGGAGGGCCACGCCCCGCAAATAAATTGCTTCATACATACCCCCCACCCTACATTTTTTTTCATCTTCCATCTTCTACCCTTATTTGTTTTCATCATTTTTCTACATTCCTTTCTGTCCATCTCATCCGTTTTTTTATCATCATTTTTCCAAAATTTTCGCCATCCTTTTCTCCTTCCTCCTCGCCTCATTCATTTCACCAACTACCCTCCAAAATGTCATTTCCTCAATCTCCTCACCTCATCCATTTCAAAAAAAGAAATTTTGCAAAATATATTGCAAAAAATATTTGTCATCAAAAAAATATTCGAACTGTCTAAAAACGATTTGTCCATTTCCCGGACAAAAAATAGAACAGCAACAACATCACTCTCCTCCTTCGTTTCATCACTTTTATCATATATTTTTTTGGGGCGTGGTGTCGCTTGTAGGATTTTAGGATGTTTTATGTTGTGGGTTTCCTGTCGGCTCTGTCCGCTGGACTTCTTGGACATCATCTTTGGGTGCGCCTTGCGAGTTTGAGAGATGGTGAGGTGAGAGTTGCCTTTGGTGGCATTCAAGAGTGGCATCGTTTGAGATGAGCGCATTTTGTGATTTCCACATTTTCATCTCAAATGGGTGTGATTAGAACACCCGGCCTGCTTTCAGCAGTTTCAGATAGATTAGCCTTTGCGCTTGTCGGATATGAGCGTCTTCTTCATGAAGAATGGGGAGGAGTTGGCGGTGTATCAGGTTCAGAATGGGGCGGTGGTCAATGACTTGAACAGCCTCAAGGTTGAAACACCCAACAAGGAGTTGTTGATGTCCCTGAAGAAGTCTGACCTTTTGGGGCTCTTTTCTTCGCTTGGTCTCAGGCTGACCAATTCCTCATCAGCAACCAAGGACAGAATCGCCACCAAGATTATTGAGCGGTTTGAGTTTCTGAAGACCAGAGCCGATGAGTTGGCAGAGTATGAGGAGAAGAAGAAGTCAGATGTTGAGAGTTCGGATGAGGAGAAGAAGAAGTCAGATGATGAGAGTTCGGATGAGGAGAAGCCCCCGGCCTTCCCGCCATCATTTGGCATCAGCGCTTACCATGTCACAGGCTTTGAGGATGGCAAGCCGGTTTTGGAGACGTTCAAACAGGACGAGATTGATGACAGCGACAATGAGATGAATGAGGAGATGTATGAGTTCATGAACAGCGCCGACTTTCAGTTCTATCTTGACGACCCTTCTGACTTCTTCAACAAGCCCAAAGAGGTTCAGGTTTGCTCGGCAAAGGGAGACAAAGCCCTTTTTTCGGTGGTGGTTGATGTTGGAACTACGACAGGTTCAATGCTGAAGGAGACCATCAAGAAGCGCATTGACCACATCAGCAGGGACAGCGACCATGCCACCATGGATGTTGATGACTTCATTCTCAATGATGGCATCTGCAACATCAATGAATACCTCCCACTTCCAGAGCACACTTCAAGGGTCTTCGTGTATCTTCGCTTGAGAGGCGGGGGAAAACAGGTTCTCAAGACATCCGCCAAGAAGACCAAGGCTCTTGATGACTTGAAAAAGTCAGCCCGTGAGTTGGCAAGTGAGACACATGTTGTGGATGACCTGCCATTCATGAAGCAGTTCTCGGAAAAGGTTGAGAAGTTTGCCAAGGAGGTTGAGAAGAGCCCAAAAAATGCCATCACGATGATGTTGGAGTGCTTGGATGTCAAGACTTTGGAGGCGTTGCAAACGAACATGGAGGCTTCCAAGGCAAGCACATTCGCTCAGAAGTTGAAGCATGTGCTGAACATCTTCTTTGGCGAGGAGGGCATGAAAATGGAGGAAATCATTCAACAGGGACAGAAGATGACCGAGACCGCCGGCTACTTCGTTGAGTATGCCTTGAAAAAGGATGACATCTCCGCCGTGCCATTCTTCAAGATGCTTGAGGTGGTGAAATCCAAGATGCAGGGTGCTGAGGACAGGGGGTCTATCCATACTCAACTTTTGAGTATTTTTACTCAACTTCTGAGTATTTTTACTCAACTTCTGAGTATTTTTACTCAACTTCTGAGTATTTTTACTCAACTTCTGAGTATTTTTACTCAACTTCTGAGTATTTTTACTCAACTTCTGAGTATTTTTACTCAACTTCTGAGTATTTTTACTCAACTTTGAGTGAGTGGGGTTTTGTGATTGGACCCTGACAGGAGGAGCGTGCCAAGATGAACCAATCTGCCAACGTGGGCGGAGATGCTTTGATGGACGGTTGATAGATGCAAGACCATTGAGCCTGATTGTGCCATTTCATTTCCATAGTGCCCCCTAAACTGACCTTCGAACATTGAAAACATCACAGATGTGTTGGTGCTTTCAGGCATCATTGGCATTTCCAGCCAAGGACAAGACATAGGTTTGAGCGGTGCCAAGAAAAAAAAGACATGAGTTTCTCTGCCATCTGAAGCATCCAGAGCATCAGTCATTCATTGTTGTTCATGAGACATCCGCTGCCATGCCAGGTATGATGACGGTGACCTCGTCTGCGGTGCGGAGCCTTCAGAGCCGGTGTGTGTGTGTGTGTGTGTGTTTGTTTGTTTTTGTTGGTGTGGGTGCGTGTGTGTTTGGGGGGTCGTTAGGTTGCCCTTTCGGATTTCCCTCTCGGCGGTTTTTTGGGGTGTGGGTGTGTTTGGTTCTTTTCTGGTGTGAGCGTCCTCCCCCTTAAAGGCTTCGCCTCATCCGCGATGGATGTATGTTGGTGGATGCTGTGATGAACCCCCTAATTTAAACTCATCAAAATTTCCAATATTAAATCACTAGGTATTTTATATAGGTCTTCCTGCTTATGTATTGTTGGATTGTCTCCCCAATTTTCCTTGGTGCCCGATGGCAGTCTCTGTGCGGTTTCAATATGTTTATTATTCCTGATGTTGCCACAATCCTTTTTACATAATTCTCTAGGTTTCCAAGTTGTAATGTTATTCCATAGCCTAGTGCGTTTTCTGTAAGGCATTCCATATTTACAATAATCAACATCTTTAAAATCAAACTCATCCATAAACTCCTGATGTTTTAATAATCCAGTTTGTGGATTTTCGATTACAAAATATTTAGGATTGAAATATTTGATAATCTCAATAGTTTTTAAGACAATACTATTTGCATATTCGATATTCCTAATTCCCCTAGTTTTTGCTATGCTGTATTCAGTGCATGGTGGGCTACTCCAAATAAAATCAAAATGGTTTCTGTCAAACTGTTTGTAATCCCACTCCAAAATATCAGTGTTGATATCAGCATTTTTCAAGTCTAATGATATTACATTAAATCCAAGCGACTTTGCTATGGTTCCGACGCTTTTTGTTCCGCTAAATAATTCTAATAAATTCATTTATTAGAATTATTTAGATATTAATTATTCAAATAATACATATACTTCATCATCATTTTTTGTAATTTTATAAAACTCTAATGTTTGTTGCTTTGGTTGTTTGATTTTTCCTGTATTCAACATATCACAGTATTTCTTTTGCTTTGTAGGGTAGTCGCCCGATGGTCTTCCTATAGACTTTGCTTGAAATATCTTTTCGATTTTCTCCTTCTCTTCGTTGCTTTGTTGTTCGCGTTCAACTGGTTTTATTTTGTCATCAATGGATTTAATCATATCATTTAAGTTTTTGATATTTTTACCAATTAATGTTATCTTCTTCATTAAATCATTAATAGTGTAATTTTCATTTTCAGACATTACTATATATTTATTTAGATATTTATTTATTTAATTATATATTTTTCATCAATTGTTTAACAGTTTCTTGTGTTTCGTTTTCATTATTATCCGCGAGTGATGCATCCTTACCCCATTTAAAAGTTATATTGTGGACATCAGTTTCTAAGTTGATACTGTCTTTAGTTTTATCAATACTCATTTTCTTCTCATTTTTACTTATTTTGAAACTTGTTGGAATACATGAACATTTACAATTTTCATTATTTCTAATTCATTTTTCATTTCTAACATCCTTTTACACATCGGACAAGAAAACTCAATTACTGCTGTTTCTTTAACAATTTCTCCGCTATCTTCTGTTGAAGATAAACTTAAACTTGTCTTATTTTTGTTTTTCTTTTTCTTTTTCACCATTTATATTAATATTTACATTTTTATTTTTGATATATTGTATCACAAACTTAATTATTTCTAGTGAATAATAACAACATTTCTTAATTTTATTGTCAGTTATTATTACTTGTTCTATATTCTCTACTTCATCTATTATATTAATATAATCTGAATAACTCCTATTCATATAAATAATAAGATAAATTATTTACAATTAATCTTATTATTTCATGCATTTTAGAATATTAGGAGGGCTCAGCACTGGGGTTTCACTGCAACACGCAAGCGAGATACAAACTAATTAGATTCAATGCTTATTGATTGAATCAATGGAAAACCTGTTCCATTTTTATGATATTCGCCACCAGCATATCATAAAAACGATGTTCCATTTAATATTAATTACAAGTTAATTTTTAAATATAATTTTCTATATTTCTTTAATATTAACTATATGACAGATGTTCCAATAATAAAACCAATAAACATAACTGAATATGAATTCAAACAATCTAAATATGAGCACGTGCCAAAATTACCATTTAGAAGTATTATAGTCGCGAGTTCAACGGGCGGGAAGACTGTCCTTATTCAAAATTTAATATTGAATGTTTATAGAAATTCATTTGCAAGAATATTTATATTTTCCCCCAGCGTCCATAACGACCCTACATTTACAGAAGTTAAAAAATATATCAGGGACGAATTGCACGTGGATGATGAAAAAGAACAAATTTATTTTGATAATTATAATCCAAGTGATTTAGAAAATGTAATTGAAAGACAGAAGAAAATAATTAATTATATGAAATCTAAAAAGATAAAGAAACTGCATTCAATATTAATTGTGATAGATGACCACGCAGACGACCCTAAATTTGTTAGATATAGTAAATTATTACATGGATTATTTACAAGAGGCAGGCACGATGCAGTAAGTGTGATTTGTTCAACACAAAAATATAATGTTTTAGCGCCTATCATTCGTTTAAATGCCAGTTCATTATATATTTTTAGGTTGAAAAATGCCAGTGAATTAATGAGTTTTATTGAAGAAAATAGCGCCATTGTTGATAAACAGCAATTATTAGATATGTATCATCAAGCAGTGAATTTTGCTCCATATTCTTTTTTCTACGTGAATATGAATTCAAAAGACATTAACAAAATGTTTCATATCAATTTTGAACAGGCATTTCAAATTACAAATGATGAATAAAGATATTCTAACTTAATATAATATCATAATATGCCAATGAAACTATGTAGATGTGGTGGATTGTATCGTAGAGGTAATTATAATTTTCATACTAATTCTTGGATACATAAACTTTATAAGGCATTGAAGAGGAGGGCAACAGACGAGGAATTATTAAGATTTCAAAATAATTTTGTTGATGAAGACGCTTCACCAGAGGCTCGCGAGCTTCGCGACGATTTAATAGATGATAGATGTAGCAACGCCTCAACAAAATTACCCGAAAGTGAAATGACAGATTATGATAGCAATTAATAATATTAATTATGTTTTAATATTATCAATTTAAATTAACGAAGCATTGCAAAATTGTAAAGCAGGAAGTTTATATATTAATTTGTCAGATTTTTCTTTTTCTAATTTCTCAATTCGTGCCACACATTCTTGAATAGATTTTATTATTAAAGTATCTGCTCTTGTTTTTTCATCTACTCTTAAAGTCTTAATGTCTTCCATACTGTTATTTGCATCATTTTTACTTTGACCAATACCCATTATATATAATATTATTTAGATTTTAATTTTTCAAAATTGAAATGTTGGTTTTCTTCTTCTTCTTCGTCTTCAGTTGGTGCTGGTATTTCTGTTGGACTTTCAGATGAAGAACTATGGACAGTAACAGGTGGAGAACTATGAACACTAATAGCTTCATTTGATGAATTGCTACTGCTACTTTGTGCATTTCCTGCTGTTATTTGATTAACTAAATCTGCGATATTTATTGTTGTTGCAATTGCGGTATGTGATAAATTTAATATTATATCTGCTACTGTAGCGCCGTTGTGTAGCATTATTTCTATCATTTTTGTCAGTTTGAATCTTTTTTCTTCTTCATCGCTGTCATCCTCGTCTGGTGGTTTCTTTGGCGGTGGTTCTGGCGGTTTGTTGTTGTCAAGCATTTTAGTAAAGGCTGACACCATTGTGTCACGTTGGTTTTTCAATGTTTGTGTTGCCTGTGTTCTTGTTGGCTCATTTCTTTTGTATGTGTTGCGCCAAAAGTTTTTAAGCATTATTTGAAACATATTGTCCTGGTTTTCCTTTACCTTAAATGCTTCAAATGTCATATTTAATTGTTGATTTGCATCATTGTATAACTTTTCTTGAGTCTCTCTGGTTTCTGTGGCGATTGTATCTGTGTTGGTTGCAATGTCAATAAATTCTCTCGGTATGCCCTTTTTCATCAATTTCGGTGGTTGTATTGTTGTTGAAGTGTTTGGTTTCATTAGGTTATGTATTGTAAAACTGTCGTCATCATATTTATCATTGAATTTCTGCTTCTTTCTTTTCAGTATGTTTTTAGTTAATATTATCATTAAATATACTTATATTATTATTTACTTTCACCGCTTCCTGCTGCTCGACTTGGAGGTTTTGCCATCTTTTTAGTAGTTGCTCCTATTACTTGTTGGGGTTTGGCGATATATTTGTAATAAACTAAGTCGCCATACATTTGGGCGATTTGGTCTGTTATTGGTTTCTTTGTATCGCCTTTTGCATTCTTATGAAGTCTTGCTAGATGTGAAAATTCTTCAAACTCCGTTGCCTTAATTAGTTGCATAATATATAAATCATTTACGACTTTGCTCATTTCAGTCAAATTATTAGCAAAAATTCGTGGTTGCCTGTCCCTTACTGAATACAATATTTCAAACGCTTGTTGTTTAAACTCCGGTTGAATGTCTGGGTGTAGTTCATCAATTCTTGATATAATTAATTTTTCTTTTTCACTTAATTGCGATTCTCTTGCTGTCATCATTTCCTCATCTGGTATTAATTCTGGGCTGTCAGTTATGTCGCTTGATATTGAGCGTCCTAACATTAAGCGATTGAAAATAGACGATGCGCCTTGTGCAATAAAGTTTCTATGTTGTTCTTGTGCTTCTTGCTGTCTTTGT